AAGAAATTTGTACGACGAATTTCACATATTAAAATACAGAAATCCCTCTAATTAATCATCTGAATGTTTGAAGACAAGGAGACACGTGGCTTGAATCCTAAACTTGAGATTTATTGAGAATTTGATTTGCCGATAACTTGACTAGTCAACACTTGAATTTCGGAGCTTGGATTTGCATTTCGATACTTGGGCTTGATCTTGATTTAATTCGAAGAAGATTTTTGATCTTCTTAGGTTTGTTTGATTTGAATAAGATTTTGATTTTCTTCATATTCATCGGATTTGGACTAAGATGATTTCTTTTCTTCCTTCGGTTTCGAAATTTTTTCAGCACTTCGTAATTTTCTTCTTCACCTTTACTTCCCCTTCTTTATGGATCTTTGGTCCTATTTATAGGGAAAATTCATGACCAATTTTGGTAATCCCTTAATTAATTCAATTATAATTTATTATAATTAAATAATTGTAGCTTTTGAAAGAGTGGGACGGGCCTTTAAAATTTCACGGACCTTAGTAGGTTTTAGTTTAGTAAACATAATTGGCTAGTTATTTAAATCGACCAACCCATTATTTGTTATTTTATTTTTTTATGTCTACATATATATATATAATAAGTGTATGTGTTGCAGATCTAGAGACATATGAGACGGTCCCCCTCTTGGGTACTTGATTTCCGAGGCGAGGTGAGACACGCTGCCCTTAGATGCATCATGGCGAGCATCCCGAGCAGACGGATGTCTGTCCAGAAAACAATTATCAGCCCTCTTAGACGACCTTCGGGTAAGTATTACACATTGTAGATTTATATTATATGTCGTTTCAGAATTTCATCACATGATCATTAACTAGTTGAAATGTCAATATGTCAGCTTGAGGTTGTAACGGAGTTGACGCCGTCGACGGAGGAGGATGGTCGAGGTTTTGTGCGTGAATTAGCCATTCTGCATACTCCAAGTGACTAGATGTCCGATTTCATCTTGGATCGAGATTGGGTTTGTGAATTGAATATAATTTATTCATTATCGTTTTGTATGCGTTAGTCTATTTTAACTGAATTAATAATTTTTAATGTTATTAGTGTAGGAATGTGATCCAGTTGATCGACTCTGCCAGTAGATCACCTCCGCCGCTGATGGGATCACCTCCGCCGCCGATGAGATCTCCTTCTACTCCATCCAGGCACCTCCCCTGTGCCTCTTCTACACATGGTAATCTGTATATCATTCTAACTAGATTTATGGCGAAGATAAGAGAGGAGGTGGGCACGCTACGAGGGAAGGTGGGGGCAACGAGAGATGGGCGACGAGATATCGAGTTTACGTTAAGATTTTGCAATACTATATGGCAATATATCAGACCTTGAGGAGGAGGTCGTAGCGCTCCGAGACAATATAGTAGGAATACGATGGGGTGACAGACGGGCGATGGAGATCGGGTCACTCACCATTGTGGCCAGATGCTGCATTTTGGGAGGAGGGAGTGGCCGATGATGGAGGAGGAGAGGATTCCCGAGGAGGAGTCGGTGGCCGAGGTGGAGGGAGTGGCCCTGATGATGGAGGAATAGAGGACCAACGCATCGCTGGATCATTCTCTCCATCGATTATGTCGAAGGCAAGTGTACAAATTTGGATGTTGGGATCTTGACATGTTGCAATAATCAACTTGCTTTCGTATCTAGCCTTAAGGGTTGTACCGTTGACTAAAATTACGGGTTGCATCGCATTTCGAAATCCTCGAATGCATTGTCCTAAGTGTACTTGAAGCGATTCTCGCCCTTCGTCTCAATAAAAAATGCCGATCCAGGATTAGTTTTTCCATGCGCATTCTTTGGCCTTCTGATAGCTCATGACCACCACATACTCTCGACAGACGTCGTTAATGATGTCCGAAGGTCTGTAGATCGTTCATGATAAAACTTGTGCATTTTTGTTAACCAATGAACCATGATCGGACCTGCTTGTGATCATTTTGACGAATACCCACTTCGCAAGTATGTTCTCGTGCATACTTACGAATTGCAAAGAACTCATTCGTATCCATTTTCGTCCCTCGCAAACAACCATGGCAGCTTTCGTCAATGCAGATAATTGTGTATGTCGACTTGTTCGATTTTTTTACTTTAACTCAAAATTGTGTTTCAAAGCAATTCGGTGCACAACTTCCTGCAAATCTTTATTTGTTTCAAATAGTTTCTCGAACAATTAAAGATCCGTGTACTCATTCCATGCTGTGAGCTCCCACTCGACTCATGTCTCCGAAGGGATAAAGCAATCAAGTCTTCATTTGTAAATTCATTTTCATTCTCGTTGTCTTGAATTATCGAAGGAATTCTGTGCGTAATAGTGAGATCATGGTAATGAACAACTGTATCGGGAATAACCACATCACCCTTATGAGTTATCACCATCGTGTCCCAAAAATCACTGACATTACGATTCCCTCCATCGGAATCTTTGTGTTCACTCTTGGGGACATTCTTCCTTGATAAAGTTACACAAATAGAAGTCATGCGATTTTGATTCATTTCAATTAAAACATTGATTTCATCTTCAGAGGTAACCTTTACAGATGGAATTGAAATTGATGTATGCTCGTTGTTGAAGAAAAATCTCAATTTCATGTCGTACTCAGAGGGATCGACGTTGAGCTTATTCTGTATATCATGGTACATTTGTGTATATGATGTACTCGATATCATCACAGTTACAATCACATTATGTCTTTCACTTGTCCATTTCTAGACCCATCAACCATTTTCATTCATTTCAAATTCATCAAAGTAACAAACCGGGGCGGCAGCTGATCCCATATTTGCATTAGAAAACATTATTTTTTAAAAAAAAATTATAATTAGGAGAAAAAAAGAGTACAAAAGTTGTTTTCGACTAGAAAACAACCGACTATTTCTAGCCGGCCTAGAAGTTATACATGCAGATGAATTTTTTTCTCATTTTTGTCAAAAAAAAAATTATAGATCCGTTTAAGATCCTAATTTTTTTTATCTGCCTATGTCGAGATAAGATTTAAAAATTAAAACAATGTACTAATTTAACGAAATTGAAATTAAAAACACGTAAATATACTTACCGATTCCGAGTAATGGCTATAAACAATATTTTCTTATTGAGCGTTTGATAAATTTATGAGATTTTTGGTTTGAATCAGATGAAAAATGAAACAGTTTTTATCTGTGTTGGAGTAAACAGATAAAGAAAGCGATATACCATATTTTTGTAATTGTGTAATACATTTAAGGGTAATTTTGTCTTTTATGCATTGAAAGGCTATTGTGGTGAATTGTTAAAAAATTTGGTCAGAGTAGAAAATGGTTATGTTGACATGATCAATTTGAAAAGTACCCCGTATTTAAGGTACCACTTTTAGAACCATGGAAAAGAAGATTGGTAGATGAACATGAAGAAAATGCTTGTAATTTAGTACATGTTTAATACATATTCTTTCAAAATTCATTTTCAACCACACAATTTTCAATAAAATAATAATTTCCAACACATCAATAACTTTTTCTTACTTTTTAACCACATATTTCTCGTCATATCATTATTTAAAATACATTTTTTTCTCAATAATATCCATCAAACGCAATTCCATTTGAGGGTATGCTTCTATTATGACCTCGCAAACATCCCGACACTCTTCTAAGGAACAATGCCAAATGTACACTCAAAAGTTTAACATTGCTTTTGACATTCCATTGTCTACAAAAAAATTGTTGACACGAAAGTGTGTTCTTTTTAAACTATCCATGTAATGTCACCACGTGGAATAATATAAAAAAGAATATACATATAGCTTTATATGATAAAGTGTACATT